AATGTTTTGACACCTAAAACCCCTGAACAATCAAAACTAAACCCTAATAGAACATAACTAACCCAAACATAAATAATATAAAGAAAAAATAATTTTGAAAAAGTGGCATTTTTGTAAAGGTTTCAAAAGTGTGGTATTTTTGTAAAATGGTATTTGAAAAGTGGTATTTTTTAAAATTTCTCATAAATATTTGACAACTTCTCTATAAGTAACTTTGTCCAAATATTCTCAATTTTATTTTATTTTTTCGTGGGAGTGACCTAATTTTATCTTTCGTTTTTTTCGTGTTTAATTTGTTTTACGGGAGTTATAAAATATTTAGAGAGTAAAAATTGTTCAAATACAAATATGAAAATAAATTTATCAATATTTTGAGAAATAAAAATTTGAGTAGTAAAATAGGGAAAAAAATTTATACCTAATTTAGTTTTAATATGAATAAAAAAAACTAATGATTTGAAAATATGTGATAAAATTTAATTTTAAATCAAATAACAAAAGTATCAAAATTAATAAATAAATGTTATATTTTTCAATTAATGAGTTTATAACAACGTTTTCACTTTTAGTTTATTTATTTTAACAAGTAATTTAAATTTGTTTTGTACAATTAAATATTTTATTTTTTCATAAATTTATAAGATATTAAATTACAAAATCCGCATATACGCGAATTTTTTATCTAGTATATAATACACCGACTGGTGATAAGTTAGAACGTACTGTGTCGGTAGCTCAAACTTTGATGTGTTATTGTGTTGCTGTAAGGAAAAATATTTATTATTTCAAGTAAATTTATCTTCTTAGCTGTTTTTAGATTTTCTTTTTTAAAACAAAATTAATATCGTTAAAGTATCGCAACTATATTTGTTTTATACTACTTATCTTGATTAACACTTTCAAACTAACAATTTTTTTTTAATAGGAATATAATATTTTGTGAAACTTCAAAAGTCTCTTTCCTTCTTCTCCGTCTTCAGAAATTTAAGTCTTTTTCCCCATTTGACTCGTTCGATGGATAAAAAAAATTAGATAAATAAGTAGACTAAAAGGGACATAATAACTTCTGCCAAACAAGGTAAGTAAATAAAGACAATATAATGTGCTAATCATGATTTGTCCTAAAGAAAAGTTCACCAAATACTCTTTCTTATGAAAAAAAAAAAATTTATAAATTTGAATACAAAAGATCACCATGGCATTATTAAATAGTAGCACTATTGATTAAAACCTGTCAATACTATTTGTCATTAGTAGTGTTTTGTGTAAAGTAGTAGCACTATTGATTAAAACCAAAAACGAACGGAGCTATTTAATTTTAAATTTAGAGCATTTGCGAAGCAAAAACTAATTTAAAAGTCAAAAAGTGTAACGTTCTCAAGATAGTCGCGCGTGACACAGAGGCTCTCTTACTTTAATTGATTGCATTTTTCACTTTAATTTAAATTAGTTAATCAAATAAATTTAGATAATAATTAATAGTCAAATTACTCGTTTAGAACTTTTAATAAAAGTCAACTTCTCTAATTTACTGCCTCTAATTGGACATTAATTAAGGAACTTACGTAATGAGAAAGATTAACAAGTCAATCCCTAAACAAGGAAATATTTATAATTTCATCCGAAACCTTTGGTTAAATCTTGAATTAACAGCGAAAGCAAAAATCAAAATTACTCCTGATTTTAGATTAAAACACAAATTAATTCATTAATAAATTTTGGTTTCTCTCTGAGATTAAAATGAGCGAAGGAAGAAAAAGACAGTCCCCATGTTTTAATGACAGTGGCTCTACTTTCCACGAGCGAAACTTTAATACAAAATCTTTGTTCAGACCCAAAATTTGCTCAACTCTTTTCTCTTCTCCTTCCTTCTCAGATTCTCTGGAGCGAAAGAGGGTTGATTCATGATTCAGTTTCGTCTCTGTTTCTGAAGCTTATGCTGTTTTAGAAGCATCAATGGCGGAGTTTATCTGTTTATTCGGCAAGGTTTGT